ATGGCTATGTGTAGGTGCGGATACAGGCACATGCTATGTGTGGGTGAAGATATAGGCATATGTTATGTGTGGGTGAAGATATAGGCACAAGATATGTATAGATGAGGATGTAGATGCTGGTTATGTTTAGGTTAGGATGTAGGTGTTGGCTAAGTATAGGTGAGGACATAGACACTAAAAAAGAGTGTCATGTTTATTTTTTCCAATATATAAACCATTTCCCCAGAGACAGCATATGAGAGTAAACACAGAAAAGCTGTGTACTGAAATCATTTAATGCTCATTTTTATTTTTTCACACTATGCTTAGTGTTGCTGATACAGGCTCATCTGTCTCAGAGTTAGTTGATACACATGAAGAAAGTTGATACACTGTAAGAAAGTTAAGGGCTAACACAGAGACTAATCTGTCCTGAATACCACATGATCAGCTAGAGGCATGGAACATTCTCTCAGGGGTTAACACAGACTGACACATGAGTTGAGAATTTACTTTCAGGCACTGTGAATGGGCCAACTCTAAGATAATTCACTTTTAAAAGGTCACACATTTCATGACACCAAGTTTCTGAGTTGAGGCAGACGCAGTTCTATCCACTCAGAGTTCTGTTCCCTTAAAAACCCACCTTGCCCCACAGAGTGGCTGTTCTTAACTGTCTGGGGGCTGAGCCTGGGAGCTCACACAGCTGCCATTTCACCCAAGATCTACTGTCTCCTTACATATTTGTTTTATGTCTATCCAACAGTGGGGAGATGAAGATTAGTTCCAGTGAAACTTAATGTGAATTACTTCATAGGTGAAGAGCTGATGTACAGAGATGTGTGTGACACTCAATAATAGATCACTGTCACTAGCATCTGCTGCCTTGGCTAACTGAAAAATGGAGGCTTTCCATAAAACAGTGAACACATTAGTCAGCACTAAGCCTCTTAGGAAACAGTCTCCATGTTGCTCCTGTTTCTGATAAGAGCCTGCTTATCTGAAGGGGAAACCAAGGAAATGTGACCTTTGCCATTACTACTTCTATAGCGAGAAAGCGACAGAGTGAGCTGAGGTGGAGGCACACAGCGATTAGACTTCACAGTTTTGAATGTACTGGGTGAGATCTCGGTTTTGACAGCGGTTTCTCCAGGCCACCCTGTGGAGGAGAGTGAGACAGGGGAAATGGTTAGAATTGTGTCCTCTGTCACCCACATTCTCAAACCTGTGAGGGGAAATATTGTAACAGCGACACTAATGGAGACCGTGTTCTGGGCCAAGATCTAGTGTGAAACCCAGGCTATAGCTCCACCCAGAACCTACAACTGACTGGTGGAGCTGTGTCTACAAGGCTGTTTGATCCTCTCCAAACCCTGGGCAGAGCACAGGATACTCAATGTCACTGTGACATCACAGGCACAGAACCGTTACTCTGAACCTGATAGAAGCACAAGTAGGAAGTACTCTTGAATGCATTGGCTCCTGAGATCACTTCCTAAATATAACACCAGTAGCACAGACACTGAGAGAAACAATTAATCAATGGGACCTCTTGAAACTGAGAAGCGTTTGTAGGGCAAAGGACACAGTCAATAAGACAAAACGACAGCCTACAGAAAGGGAAAAGATCTTCACCAAGCCCACATCTGACGGAGGGCTGATAGCCAGAATAGATAAAGAACTGAGTCTGATTCTTAAAGCACAGTCAGTTAGCTTTTTGGCTCTACTTCCCTGACTGGATTAGCTTGCCTAGTCCTACCCACTTAGTGGGGCATATAGGTTCTAAGGTGTTTAATCTAGCAGCTACACTGAGCTAGGCATTGTTTGGGTGGAAGCTGCACCTTGCTTCCCTCACTCCCCAGACCCAAGATAGCCAAACAAGCAATGTCTCCACCCCCAGAGGGAACTGAAGGTCTGGCCCATAGATGTCCCCTCGAGGTCCCCTTGATGCTTCTCCTCCTTCCTGGGACCACCAGGGAATGTTTCGATCAGATTAAACCGGAACATATTTTATGGCCTGACCTTATATACTGCGTTGATGGAAAGGCTTAATATTGAGGCAGGGAAACATTTTATCTGGCGTGTTGGCTTGTGGAGCTGAGCTTTTCCCTGTGGGCCCCCACTTACACAGATCTCTGCCAGACTATACAGCTCTCAGCCCAGCGAGTTGCCCCTTCCAAGTCACTGCCCTTAGGGATCTAGGCCCCTCCTCTCTGATTTTGGGGTACCCTGTTCAAGACGGGGTCACACCTGAGCCAAACTTACCTGTTGCCATTCAATCTGATCCTCTCTGGATGTCTTGGGATGCCAGAACATCCAGGCCTAGGATCTTCCACTCCATGCACGGCCTAATGCAATGGATGCATCATGATTTAGACTTTGGATCTTGACAAAGGCTTGTGAATGGTTGCTTCTGGGTTAATCCCCAGTTGCTATGAAATATTTCCAAATCAAGTCTAGCTCACACCACATGGTGGTTTGGGCTCCCCCATCCAGGTTGGTGAGAATTACATTCCTGACCCCTTCCCTGATTGTTCCTGCTGACAATCTCATGCTTTCTACCAGCAGCTCCCCCATTTTCTCCAACCTGCTGCGTCTGTGTCTGTTTCCTCCCTTACTAACTTCCTCCTGCCTGCTGCTGATGTCGCTGACACCCCCAAGTCAGTCTCTTGACATCTCCTACCCTGGCTGTGGGCATGCATGTCTCATGGCGGGTTCCTCCCACTGCTTCGGAGCATCTACCCCCACAAAAGTTTTATTCTGATTTCTGTTAAAAGTTCCCATCTATTTTGCATGTGTGCATGAAAATGTGGCCACAGTATGCTCATTTTTTGACTGGGTTTGAATGCCTGAGATTCCGTGTTCCATATGTCTTCCTAACAGCGGAGGTATGTTCACAACTAGCTACTTGGGCTCAGATTTTGTAATAACAGAAAATGTTATTTTATGCTGTTCTACCACCATGAAGAGCACCAAGTGGTCTGTCATCACCTTATTATTATTTTTTTATTAAGAAATTTTCTACTCACCCTACATACCACCCACAGATCTCACCTCCTCCCTCCTCCCACACCCCAGCCCTCCCTCCAAAGCCACCCCACATCCCCACATCTTCCAAATCAAGGTCTCCCATGGGGAGTCAACCAAGTCTGGCACACTGAGCCTAGGCAGGTCCAAGCCCCTCACCACTGTACCAAGACTGCCCAAGGTGCCACACTGCAGGAACCAGGCTCCCAAAAGCCTGCTCAAGCACCAGGGATTGATCCAGATCCCCTCTCTCAGGGGTCCTCCAAACCATTCAGGCTAAACAACTATCTCCCGTATACAGAGGGCCTAGTCCAGTCCCATGGGGGCTCCACTGCCACTAGTCTACAGTTGATGGGCTTCCACTAGTGTGGCCAATCATTTCTGCATGACTTCCCATCATGATCTCCATGTCACCTGCCTGCAGAATCCCTCCTTTCTCCCATTGACTGGATTCCCAGAGCTTAGCTTGGTGCCTGGATGCAGATCCCTGCATCTGCCTCCATCAGTCACTGGACAAAGGCTCTATGACTGCCATCACCAAATAACATGTGGGCAGATGCCATTTTGACTAAAGTTAAAGAGAGGTCATATGACTTGACTGCCATCTTTAGTGAGGGTGACCACATGGACCAGCCAAACCAAGGAGATGTTAGGTCTCCAATGTATTTTTCTGTATGATAATTCCTGGCCTGTAATAAAAGCAAGGTTTCTAAAAGAGAGAGTTTAAAACAATGCTGGGTTAATGAGGCATTAAAGCTGCACCACCATGCATTCAGGTACAGGGAATGTATCTTGCTGAGCAGCCAGATTTTATAGTGTAAGAGTAAACCCCTCAATACTGATTTTAAAAACACGGAATTGTTTGCAATGTTCAAACTTGGTTTTGCCTTATGCTAATGCCTCAGGACCACAGCTGAACACAAGAGGCTGAAATATTCCTTCTAATCTTCTTGCTTTTACCAACATTCCTAAGCTGTAACTAACTTTGAAAACTGTATGCCCAGATTTAGCTTATTAGTTAAATAACATTTGTATAATTCAGATATACCTAACAGATAATAATACACTGGTCTTCAAATTCTTCAGCGATCTTAGATTATGATATTTTAATAAAAATAAAGACATGCCAGTTCCCAGCTGCATCCTGTACCTCCTCCAAGGAACATGGAAGAATTTTCACCGGGAAGCTTGTTTTAAATGTGAGAAAGCCAGCCACACAGCAGGAAACAGCTTCGCACCTTGACCTAGTGCCAAGAGTCTGCCCAGACTGGACAACAGGATCCTGGGGGATCGATTGCCCCACTTTGCCAAGTTAAGGTTGGACACTGTCCCCAAATTCCTACCCCATAGGAAACTCTGTCAAATCTTCTGGGTTTGGCAACTGATGATAGGTCCTCCTCTGGGACTTCTGTCCCCTCAACGACCATGGAGAAACCTAGGACTGCCTAGGTAAGTGGAAAGATGTCTCACTTCTTACTTATCCTTCTCAGAACTGATGGCACTTGATGACTAGGGTACTTATAAAGTGATAGAGCACTGACTACAAACAGTTTTCCAAAGTTCTTAAATTTCTATGGATTTTCTTGGTCCCTGCTTTTAGAGACAGGTCAGCATTAGAGAGGGTAGGGAAGCCTGCAGGCATGTTCAACTCTGCTCCTCCCTCATTCCTCAGTCTCCCTCCCTCCTCTTTGACTCACTCAACCCCTTCTGTTCAGTAAATTTCCCCTGGTTATAATCTTAAAGGTGTGTTTCATTGGGCTGAAACCAGGCCCTAGGAAAATGTTAATACCTCTTAACCCAAAGCAATAGCCTTTTGCTATGAAACCAAGATGTAAATCTGTTCCAGCTATCTTACCTGTATGTTCTTGAGAAAGAGTCCTGCTACTATATCAAGGAATCTGACATGGTGGATCAGTCCCTAGACAGGTCCACCCTTCCTGCCAAACTTGTTCAATGCCAACCCACAGGGGCCCTCCTGATATGCCAGCCCCTGCATGAGTTATGAGGTGAGTATTGGGAACTGACAGGTTGATTTCACCCACATGGTCATTTTAAACTCTGTGGTGATATTTTAATTGTGCTGAAATGTGACTTTATTTGTACATTAATAAATAAAGTTTGCCTGGAGATCAGAGGTCACATAATGAGGTCACAAAGCAAGGTCACATAACCATAAACAGAAGTCAGGCGTTGGTAGCACACGCCCTTAATCCCACTCACTTAGCAGGCAGAATCTCTGTGTGTTCAAGGACACACCCAAGCATGGTGATAGGAGCCTTTAATCCCATTAAGAACCATAGAGACCTGGAAGTCTGTCTAGACAGGAAGTGACGAAGAAGTCATGTGGCTGGGCTTAGAGCCAATGAGAAGGAGGAACAGAAAGGCAATAAAAACAGGGGTTAGGAGCCCTTTTTGCCCAGAGTCAGCGCGGTTTCCTGCTTCAACAGTGCTTGAACAGAATCTGGCAATCCACCCCTCCGACCCCAACTGGCTCCTCAGGGCCAGAACTCTTGCAACCTCCTCACTCCAGCATTGGCACCGGGCCTCTCCCTGCTGCTGCCATGACCACCTTGTCTCCCTCACAAGTGGGCCAGAACTACCACCAGGACTCAGAGGCTGCCATCAACCGCCAGATCAACCTGGAACTGTATGCCTCCTACGTCTATCTGTCTATGTCTTGCTACTTCGACTGGGATGATGTCGCTCTCAGCAACTTTGCCAAATACTTTCTCCACCAATCTCACGAGGAGAGGGAGCACGCTGAGAGACTGATGAAGCTACAGAACCAACGAGGTGGCCGAATCTTCCTGCAGGATATCAAGAAACCAGACCGGGATGCCTGGGAGAACGGGCTGAATGCGATGGGGTGTGCACTGCACTTGGAGAAGAGTGTGAGTCAGTCACTCCTGGAACTGCACAAACTGGCTGCTGACAAAAATGACTCCCACTTGTGTGACTTCATTGAGACCCATTACCTGAGTGAGCAGGCGAAATCCATCAAAGAACTGGGTGGCCACGTGACCAACCTCCGCAAGATGGGAGCCCCTGAAGCTGGCCTGGCAGAATATCTCTTTGACAAGCTCATCCTGGGACACAGTGATAAGAACTAAGCTGACTTCCCCAAAGCCACAAGTGACTTTACTGGTTACTGAGGCCGTGCATGCATGTCAGCCTGCCTTTCCTTTTGTATAATTCCTTCGAAAACATCCGCTTAAGTTATTTAATTTGTACCATTTCTTCAAATAAAGAATTTTGGAATAAAAAAAAATTACAGGTTAGATGGGAAAAGCTCTCTCTGGGGAAGTGACAGTGGCCAGTGGTAACATTAGGTAGTGGTGGTGGTAAGATAAGGTAGTCGTGGCTCTTTGCTAGTTCTCTGATCTCTTTGGCTATTAAGTCTGTATTTGGCTCTGTGTTTCTTATTTAATGAGACTGTTTAGAAATTCATCTACAAAGCTCTATAATTTTTAATTCTTATTGACACCTTTACGAGATGGTTGTACTCCCCACCTCCAGGAAAACAGCAGAGGTGATGGATCAGGCATTCCCCAACACAGCATCCCCTGATTTGACACGCCATTTTCCCAAGCTCCTGGATCATCAGTGCTGGTACCACCTCTCCAGACTTCATAGGCTATCTACTCTTACTTCTGGCTCATTCACCCATGCCTCTTCTGTCCAACCAGGACACATCTCCATTTCATCCATAGGGCTATTGTTAATAATCTATTTCTTTCTCCTAGCAACTTGCCTTCTCTGCCTCCTCAAGAAACAGGTGCCTGAGGTCTCCAGGGTGGCAGTTAAACAAATCCTTCTTCCGCCACACATCCTGTTGAGTGGGACCCCACCTACTCCTGACTCCCCTCCCCACATCATCCCATGTCTGCAGGATGTAGCCAGACTTGATCTGGTGCCCATATACCCAAGGAATCTGGCATGTTTAGGTGGAAGCCCCATCTTGGTCCCACCTCTCTCTGTCCCCAGATCCTGCCCCTGAGAAAGCCCACCCAGCAGCAGCTCAACCTCTAGAGGGTACTTAAGGTCTGGCCCACAGACTTCCCCTTGTGGTTCCCCTCATGACTTCTCTTGTTTCCTGGGACCACCCAGGAATGTTTTCCTCAGATTAACCCTGGACTTATTAATTTGGCTTGATAGGACTTAGTACATCAGTGGAAAGGCTTAATATCAGGGGACAGAAACTTCTCATCCATGCCCTATGCCCAGACTCTGAGTTGAGGGACGAACTAGTCACCCATCATCCTTGTCCTCACAGCAGCTGGAGGAAGATCATCATACTGACTGGAACACAATTCATGGGTGTGGTGAGCTCTATGGACAGAGTTGCAGCATTTATGGGAGACAATCCCAATCATAATCCTGGGAGGGAGGTCCCACCCAAGCCTTAGATTATAAATTGGAGTTCGCCAATTTACAGACATTGAGAGAGTGGGACAAGGTAGGAACCAAACCATGTGCTGGGAGGTATAGAAGCAAGAGGAGGCTGAGGAAAATGTGTCATGCAATTCGGGAGTGTCTCGGAAGAAAAGGGAGTTGGAGAATCCAGGACCAAAAAGTGATGATCCCAACTGCAGTGGTATTTAGAACCTAATCCCAGATATCGTGGTGACTATTCGTGAATATCAAAGTTCAGGCCTGGGCCATGGAATGTTCTCCTAGTGTGCTCAAAGCCCCAGATGAGGTCCTCAGCCATGAACCAGGGATGGTGGAGCATGACTGTAGTCTCAGCACTCAAGACGGAGAGGCAGGAGGACCAGAGTTCAAGGCCATCCTTGGATATGTCCCAGCTGCCTGAGACCCTGTGTCCCTCTGCCTTCTCCCTTTAAAAACTGAACCTGGGATGATGGCTCAGCAGGTAACATGCCTCCTGTGCAACCATGGAGGACCAAACTCCACCCAGAACCCATGTGCAATGCCATGTGGTGTGGTAGCCTGCCTGGAATCCCAGCACATGGGATGTGGAGACAGGCCATCCCTAGAGCAAACTGACTAGCCAGACTAAACAAAAGAGTGATTTTTGTGTTTCTGTGCCCACAGCATAAGTTAAGGTTGCTTGCATTAACATGCATGGGTGGATATTGCTGATTTGAGCAATTGCAATTACCAATGGCTACACTGCTGAGGAATGCAACTCCTCTCCTTTCCCCTCTCCAGCAGCCATTAACTCCTCTGGGAGAGGTGGGGCCTCACACATGCCTCCCTCACCCAGAATGAAATGCTAATGGGCCCAGTCTTGAGCAGGAAGATCCTGCTGCTGAGAATTTATGGAAGCAGCAGCCATGTTATGTCCAGAAGGCAGAATTTCATAGCTCCCATCCCCTTCCCATCCTCTTTATAGTACATACACTTCCAGTGCTTTGGGGAAACAAAATATCTCATCTGCAATACAACGTGGTCTAGAGTCACACCCTGATATAGCTATTAATTCAATCAATATTAAATGCCTTGGATATGCTCAAAACAAGGATAAATTAAAAGAATAAGACTCCCAATGAGTTGCCATAAATAGTTCTTTCAAACATGGAGGCAAATACTGCATGGATCTAGAACAGGGAGACAAGTTTTCCTTCTTAAATGTAAAACATGTCTTGTGAGTCCCTCACTACATTCTGCACAGGCTATGGCTCTAGTGTAGCATGAATCTTAAAGGTACCTATTAATAAAGTCAAATCTGAGGCCAGTTATTGGGGTCAATGCAGGAAGATCAGAGAAGCAGAACAAGCCATAGCTACCTCACCTCCCCAGTTCCTCAGCTGATCCTGTTTCCTCACACTGGAAGCCTTGAGTCCTTATCCAAATGAATCTCAACTGAACTGCTTCTTGAAAGCCTGGATGCTTAACCAGCTAAAAGCTTCTAGTTTTTGGTCTTCAAGCCATATATACTTTTCTGCTTTCTGCCATCACTCCCTGGGATTAAAGGCTCACTTTCTGGGATTAAAGGTGTGGGTCACCATGCTTGGCTGTACCCTTGAACACACAGAGATCCAGGTAGATCTCTGCCTCTGGAATGCTAGGATTAAAGGCGTGTGCTACCACTGCCTATCCTCTATGTTAATATTGTGGAAGTTCTGTTCTGACCCCAGATAAGTTTATTAGCATGCACAATATTTTGGGGAACACAATACCACATTTCCCCTTCTTTTGTCTAAAATTTAAAAAAAGCTTATAACTAATACAAGAAAAACTATATACAATAAGTATATACAATATATATAGTCAAGAATTACATTAATGGTGTCCAGTAACATTTGATAAACTCATACAAAATTTTTCATTATTTATCCTATTTAAAACAAGTAGTTCCTTTTAAAAAGTAGATTAAAAAATTTACCTTTTCATCTTATATTCATATTCCCCTTTTTTCTTTTCATAAAACTTTCAATAATCTACCTTTTTTTCATTTTTATATCTTTCCCTTTTTCTTTTTAGTGTAGATTCAATGATCTACCCATTTATTCTATTATCTTTATTTTATATTTTTTCTCAGAGTAGATTCAATGATCTACCTCATATCTAAATTCTCTTTTTTATTTCCTTATCTTTTTTCTCAGAGTAGATTCAATCATCTACCTCATATCTATATTCTCCTTTTTCTTTTTTAAACAAAAACTCTGAATCTAATCTCCTAGTTCAGCTTTTTTCCTGACCATTAACAATTAACAACTTGTAACCAACCATCATAAACAATGACAATATCCATTAACTCATTAAATGACCAAAAAACCTCCCATCCCACCTCTTGGGAATGTGGGCGTAGTTTTCCTAAAATTACTTCCTGCTTTCTGGGGGAGCAAAGACATCTTTAGGGAATCCTGAAAAGAACATTTTTGGGTTAATTGTCAAGTCCTGTGTCATTTTCCAGTCACGGCATAATAAGAAAGTGCAGGGCTTGTTTCAAGTCCTTGTTCAAGTAGTCCGTCAGGCTGGATCAGCTCAACTAGCCATCCCAAAATTGCCCTGAGTAGTTTGTAGGCCAATGTCGATCTTTTGATGCTGTTAAGCAGCTTAATGGGTTTACCATAGTCCATGTGGAATCATCTTTGTGGGGTCCTGTCATCCTTTTGAAGATTTCAAAGTTGCTGTTAGGCGGGGTCATGATTCCCTTTAAATTTTTTTTTTTTTGTTGTGCCTCCTCTGTGGTTTGGAGCAATCACAGTCTGATAAATGTCTGTCTCTCAGAACCATGAATGTTCTTCCCTAGAAGAGAATATCTTCACAGCAATGTCTTCCCACCATTTGTTTTGCCAAACTTTTCCAAACTGCCCTTTGCTGATGCTTTTTTGTAATACGATGGTCCAGGCAATTCTTCTCTGAACAAGCAGCAGTAAACCCTTGGTCCCAGGTAGGAGCATCACTGCAGTCACCAACCAGATAAGAATATGCCAGCAAGTGGGAGCAGCAACCACTACCTTCATGGTCTCAATGCCACTGTTTTTGCCTGGGCCCTGGCTGCAGCTTCTCCTCAGCAAGCCTCCCAGGCTGGCCTCAAACTCGGGATCTTCCTGCCTCTCCCTCATTCATTTAGCAAATCCTGCCAGCCAGTGAGTGCCACCACAACTGGCTGAGTGTAGCTTGGGCCTGAGCTGGGGCCCACAAGGCCACAGGCAACAGCTTTTTCATGAATTTGTACCAAGAACGTGGGGCGCCAGAGTAGCATGAATCTTAAAGGTACCTATTAATAAAATCAAATCTGAGGCCAGTTATTGGGGTGAATCCTGGAAGATCAGAGAAGCAGAAAAAGCCACAGCTACCTCACCTAGCCAATTCCTCAGCTGATTCTATTACCTCAGACTAAAAGCCTTGAGTCCTTATCCAAATGAATCTCAGCTGAACTGCTTCTTGAATGCCTGAATGCTTAACCAGCTAAAAGCTTCTAGTTTTTGGTCTTCATGCCTTATATACCTTTCTACTTTCTGCTATCACTCCCTAGGATTAAAGGCTCACTTTCTGGGATTAAAGGCGTGGGTCACCATGCTTGGCTGTATCCTTGAACACAGAGATCCAGGTAGATCTCTGTCTCTGGAATGATAGGATTGAAGGTGTGTGCTACCACTGCCTATCCTCTATGTTTAATACTGTGGCAGTTCTGTTC